AGATATTGGCATTAATCCTCTTTTTTCAGAAAAAAACATATCGCGCCGATTTTCTGGTGTTCTTCATTCAAGAGTTCTTGGCGTTCTGCTGTCCTCAGATCTGTTTCAGGTTCCATTTTGAACTCTTCAATGTTCTTTATTTCTCAGATGTGATTTTCATTACTCCTTTAGCTGCTTCAGTCTTCTTGATTATATTTTTCTTAAATAAGATTGAACTGCAGCCTACTGTAGATCTGTTCATGCTATATTGCCCAGCAACATTAGGCATCTTCTGCCCACTCTCTACCTTTGCTATTATACTCTCACCTTTTGAAAAGAAAAACAGACACAAAACTTAAGCAGTGCCTACCCAACAGTCTCGCGAATACATAAAAGAATTGTTTTGTCAGAAAAACAAAAGGCTGGAATTATGAGGGAGAGTTTCCAAGTTCGGAGGAATACTATCTGATCAGTATATACTGGCTTGAGCGTCGATGTCAACGTCTCCCACACTACGAAAAGTTTTGAATTGTTGCCAGAAGACAAGGGAAGACCAATCGGTATTCATTATTTTACATCGCTTCTTCTTGTGTTTGTTCTGTGGGGTGTTCGTTATCCGATCACGTGTTTGTTATCCGAACATAAAAATCTTTCGCGAAAGTGTTCGTTAACCAATCACCCACTGTATTTTGATTTTACTGATAAGTTACAATTGTCTCTCCTTAGATTTATTATTAACCTGCTTTGTTATCAATCAAAATTGAAATATTTTCTTTAAACACCTCCAGTCATATTAATTGGTTTATTGTATTATTTAATGATTCATCATTGAATTCCAAATTCACATAAAATCAATTTATTTGTTTTAGCTAAAACTGGATAACAAAACAGTCAACTAGATATAACAAAAAAATCTAATATGTGTTCAATATACATCTAAACTCCTTATATTATACTTTCTTGTATGATTTAATTATACAAGAAAGTATTACAGGAAATCCTTGTTAATTCAAACTTGGATAGTTCAAAATCCTATTAGTTCATAACTGTACTTTTGTCCCAGTCTGAGATAGAGATTTACACATTAAGGAATTCAGTTAATTTGAAATATGGTCACTTCAAATCAAAGTGAAAATTCTGTCCAAACTGTGATTTGCACACATTAACTTATTTGTTTAGATTGAAATGCCTCCATGCTATAAGAGAACAATAGACCAAGAACAACTCTAATCTGGTCAATATGGCATTGCTTTTACAGTAACACATTTTTGGGTGTCACCTTACACAAAGACTACTCTTTTCTTTTTTCCCTTATTTCATAAAATATAGCTGGGTTTCAGGATTGGGCTTTGAGTAGCAGATTACGATATTTGTAGGCTCTAGACTACTATATTTCAGACCACTTTAAAAATAATTTGAGCTACCTTTCTAGGAATTCTGCTTTACTTTTTATAAAACCTATCTGGCAACTGTGAGGTTCTTACTGGACACCCTAATTTATATAAAATTTTAGAAATTCTTGGAATTTTTAATATATTTTACATTCACAAATAAATTAAAATAGTAGTTTTAATAAGTAAATTGTCATCTATAATTTTGATATTTTTGAGGAATGCAATTCCATAATTTGTGCAATGCCAGTAAGCTGAAAAGCATTGAGCTAACTATTGAGATTTAATGCCTAATTAATATAGTAGAAATAAAAACAACATACATAACATACAAACAACAAAATTAAATTCTCACACTACATTACAAGGTGAATCATTTCTTCATCTGAATAAGTCATAGTGAATACAAGAAAGAATAAAATCAATGCTTGTCATTAATTTTTATATTTGACTCATGCTGACTAACAAGTTTTTAAAAAACTGATGAAAAGGAATCATATTTATAAATTTGCTTTGGCAATTTTGCAAATGTATATGTCTAGAACAGTAAACATTTAGTTGGAAAATGCTAAAATAAAAGAAAAACACTCCATGTTTATATGGAAAGATCTTTTTACATGCCCATTATAGACTTAAAAATGCTTACAATGAGAGTTAGGATAGTGATAAGGCTTGACATATGCTTGTTACTGACTCATAAAATTTGTGAGCAACCTGGACTTAGATTTTCTAGAGTGGCAATCTGATGCATTACTGTCTTGGACTTCTGGCTGTCTTGTTCATAAAGCTATAATTCCATTTATCATCAGAGATGGCTATACAGTTATACCCCCAAATTTCTGAAAACTTCTATATAATCCAGACAAAATTACAAGAGGGATTTGCATGGTGCTCCGTTTGCTAGACATAATTGATTCAATCACTTTTCCTTTGCCTGTTTGCATATTTTTCTTTTTCTTCTGTGTTGTTAGCATTTTTGTATCGTCTTCTTTCATTCATCTTTTTTACTATCTCCTCTATGACCCAAGGCTTCTTTGTCTCCCTTTCTTGCTGAAGATACTAATTTATTTTTTATAAATTTAAATCATATTGCTGTTACTAATTTATTATTTAATTTATTGGTAGCAATATAAAAAAAAATAATTTTAATAAAAGTAGTAATTAAGTTATTAATCAATAATGTTGTTTCATTAAAATGACAAATGAATCTTACGTAATTTTAGAAATAAATTTTATTTACAGAATTAATACTTACTTTTAAATAATAAAATTAAAAAAAAATGATTAGTTCAGGTTTTCATATGATGATTTTATTATAAACAGTACTTAAACACTCAATGATTTTTTAGGTCAACAGAATTTCTTAGAAATTTTAACAAAAATTAATTATTTCTCACAAAATCTTTTAAAACAGCTTTTTACATTATGTAGGCTTAAATTCCGCACAATTCTGAAAAATATTCTCAAATATAAAACTATTTTCCGTACACATATACCTAAACACAGTTTTGATTATCCAAAATTACTACGTATCACTCAAAATTTTAATTAAACAAGTAAATATAATAAACAAATCTCATTCAAAATTCATGTTTTTTTCTATATTTTAGTCTCGACAAATTTACATTTTTTAATAAACGTGATCTAGATTTAGCGAAGTGAAACATACTACACAAATACAGAAGAATTTTACAAATATATCCATTTAATCTTTTTAAATTTTATTGTTTATAAATTAATTTAAAATCCATAAAACTATGTGATTAAATTTCCCTATTAAATCACATAGAAAAACCCAATCAGTGGCAAGCAGGGGGTTCATCTTTTTGAATTTATTGTACACTTTTCTGAATTTGTGTTTTATAAATTAGTTTAAAATCCATAAGAGTACAGTACGTTAAATTTCCCCATTTAACCGTGCAAGAAAAACCCAACCGTCGGCCGGCACGGAGTTTCGGAGACGCAACGACGACGCGTCTTGGCCAAACTTTCCCCGGTTTAAAATGCAAAAATACACTCGTATATTTATAATCCAGGTATAACGGATACGAGACCCAACGTAAACTCTAAATTAAAGTTTTTATACAGAAATTAATACGGTAAAACCTGTATTAATGTACACACAAAGTGTAAAGATTTATGCGCATTAATTAATGATTTAATACACATCTAGTATTTTTTGGTATGATTTATAAATCAAATAATGCAATTAAATCATATAATAAAGTGGATTTACATAACTTAATTGTAAAAATGTAAGGTAGAAATGTACAAATTTATACTTTCCATGCAGTAAAAAAGCAAGATGTGTGACTCTTAGAGTGAAATGTAAATAGATTAAATACTAAATTTAACTTTTCTACATCACTGAAAAGGTTTAAGTTACAATTTTAGTAAGTGATACATACAGACAGACATACAGACAGATTTAACATTTTTTATATGAAATTAAATAATTCATTTCCAACTTACCTATCAGACATAATTGAAAGTGTTTTTTATAATTCAGAAATCAAAAGATTTAGTTGAAAAATATTTATTTACTCAATGGGAATTTTGCCAAAAAGACAGGAATGAACTAACCATACATCTACATCGTCCTAATGCCACAATTTTAATGTGGCGGCACGACCAACACTGATGCCACCTATTGAGCATTACTTGAGTTATTTCTGTACACTTTCTGTACGCAGTTTACAGCCTTATTTCTTTATTTTTTAAAATAATTTAAGGCTCGATTTCTTCTCTAAGGCGTAATTTAAGGTACAGGACAATATACGCAAGCTTTTTTTTTTTGTAGATTTTACGTAATTTATAACGTAATTTACACAGAAAATCTTACTTTTAAACATAATTTAAAGCGTAATATAGGTTATTTAGAGCATAATTCTTTATTTTTTAAACGTAATTTAAGTCATAATTCCTTATTTTAAACTTAATTTTTTCGTTTTAAGCGTAAATTAAGCGCAACTTCTTCTTATATACGTAATTTACAGCGTGATTTCGTGTTACATACGTGATTTACAGCATAATTGCGTATTTTATACATAATTTATGGCATAATGCTTTATTCTACATATGATTTAAAGCATAATCCCTTATTCTCCGATTAAAATTAATGCGAAAACTTGACATGCTTCCCTATTTCTTATATATTCAGCGCATGTATACAATCACTTAACCTTGTTTTACAGTTGATTTTACGCCTTCCCGCATAAATTTTTAATTATAAAATAAAGATAATGAAGTTTAGCTTATCTATAATTATATATATATATATTTTTTTTTAAATTCGGACGTGACGTAACGTATAAATAGAAATGATGTAAGTCGACTCGTTATGTGGGAGATGACGGAAGTAAGCAGACCTCCCGCTTATTTTCCTTATTTATAATTAATTTATCGCTTTATTTAGACTTTTAAAAAGTTTTTTTACCGTATATTTTCGCTTATATAAGATTTTAAATACGTTAAAAAGCTTAAAACATTCGGAATTATTTGCGGTTTCAATGAACGATACACACGTGCTTCTCACGTTTAGAATTTGAAAAAAGTAAGACTTTAAAAGCTCATTCGAGGGTAGAAATTTAAAACATTTAATGGTTATGTGCCAAATTATAACGTACTTACTGTTTATGAGTGGTTTTATGATCGTGTCCAGCTCCAGCGCAACAGTTATTACCGCATATACTCCTCAATGTCATACGATGAGAGCTCGGAGAAGCATTCTCCCAAGTCCTAAACGACTTTTTCATGTTAAAATCTTAAAATATGAAACAATACCAAAGCACAGTTCGAGTCTAGAAACAACAAAACAACGCTTTCATTCACGTGACACTGTATACACAACTGTACGTCAATGAGAGAAGAGCAAACGTTACGCATATACGCAGTTGTCGCGTAACTAGAAATTCGTTATGTGAAAATGTCGTGGGCGTTGTAGTCTACTAGTCATTGGGCAGCGGCATTTATCTATGCTGTAAATCTTGTAGTTTGTACGTCGGTTAATTTAATTTTGGGGATGTTCTTTGTAGGTTTGTATGCATCTTACACGATTGTCGTGGTTTAAGCTAATTGTATCTACTAGTGGCAGGTGTTTAAAAGGTAAAAAGGGGTCAGTGAAATAAAAGTAGGCGTTATTTTTTATTTATTTATGGATGTTACGTATAATGTATGCCTTTATTCGGCTTACGGTATTATCGATTTTTCGGAAAGTGGAACATGACATAGATGCATCACATAAATTAATTTTATTAAAATATGAAGATATTTTTCCAGTATAACGGAAAATGTCGCCGAAATTTCATGTTTCTCGAACTTTGTTTACCTGTATTTATCTGCCTGAAAGCCATGAAATCATTCGAAGTTCTCAAGTTTCAAGTCTCATTCACTTAAAACATTCGGCTACAGGAAACAAGTGATTTAAAATGTAATTTAAATATAAGATTTAATTAATAATGTATTTAATATCTATTTTAAAATGTAATTTCAAATCATTACAAAGCAGAAAATTATTATTATTATTATTTTGTCAAAATGTTTTAAATATAATAATTATATAAACTGTTTATTAATTAAGGCTAATTTCTAAGTAGATCCACGTTTAAAGGCCTACTAGTATATAACTAATTGTATATTTCTTTTTTACTTTACTGTATTTTGTTTTTCATTTTATTGTATTATATTTTAACCGTATATTTGATATTTTTTTAATGTCAATTTCTCTGGAGACTGTATAGTATATAATATATCAAATAATATTCACTATTTAGATTCATTACAAGTGAGGGATTAAGTGGAACAGTTGCAAAATACTGTATCTTATAAATACAAGAATTTGCATAACACATGTATATTCTGAGAGAGAGTCTTATTTTTTCTAGAAACAATTCTGGGATAACAATATTGTAACTCGATATGGGTTTTGCAAATGTACTGTACAATAGAAACAATATTGATTATCAACAAGCCCAAATGTATTTTTTTAATGCGATTATAATAAATCCCCTTTTCTATCCAGATAATATTAATAATTAGGATAGGGCATCTAGAACTGGCTCCAGAAAACAATAGAAGAAGATTTCTTCTAACGCAAGTTGAATTTATATACAGTACAGTACATCCAATCATAGGACTAAAACTTATTTTATAACTAGATTTAATGCATATATGTACAAAAATTAAGCTTTATATGAGAGATTAGAAAGGATTTTTTATGTTTTAATTTATAATTTGTTCTTAAAAAGATTTCTCTTACATAAATTGAAAAAAAAAAGTTATAGACCGCTTAATTCTTATTCAGTGGCGGATTTAGCACTCGAGAGGCCCAAGGCTCAATTCAATTTTGAAGCTCCACTCTAAATATTTTCACTATCCTTACACTCTACGTTTTTACTCTGGTAGGCACTATACCGGTGATCCAAAATAAAGTGAGACATAGGGAAATAACTTTGAAAATTAACCAATATAAAATTACAACTGCCTGCTGTATTTAAAAGGCTATCGATGTTCAGATTGTATTAATTATGAAAATTGAAACTTATTGGTACTAGAATTATTAAGTTTCAATAAGTAAAAGTGTTAAAAACAAAAAAAGTCTAGTAATCCATGGATATAAAAAATAATTTAATTTTAAATTTACTATTGATTTGTTATTCATTTGTCAGTTTAATTTGAAGAATACTGCTAAATTATTAATTATTTTTATTATGAAAAAAATAATAATAATTAAATGAAATAATTTTTTTTTTTATTTTGAGAGCTGAATTTTGAGGCCCCCTTGATTTATGAGGCCCAGGCATGTGCCTCGTGCACCTGTACAGAAATNCCCCTTGATTTATGAGGCATCAGGAGTGCAGAAATCCGCTACTTTTCTTATTACATATTTTAAATATAATTTATTATTTATAATTATTATATTTATGTACAATATTTATTAATTTATAATTTTAAATTTATATACAATAAAAAACCTGTTGTAGAGAAACCAATATCACTATAAGTCTCATTTAAAATCATCTTCAAGCGAGAAGAATTCAAAACATTTTTTTAATCTTATCAAATACGAATTTCGTTATCCGTTACGGCATTCGAAATTTAGAACTCTTTTTTTGATTAAATTGATATGCCTCAATGTCCAAAATTTATTATAATCTTATTTTGTCCACTAGTACGTATCTATTAACAGGACTTATTATAACTCTTTTTTTATTTTTTTCATTTTTCAAATTTAAACTTTAGCATTCTTAGAAGACAAACACATAATAAATAAAAGAACATATAAATATAAATCCAGCAGTATATATTATCGATATATATATCTTCTTCTTGATCTTTTCCTTTTATATTTATATGGGACGGCGTTTCCTTCTCTAATGTGTTTCCTCCACTTCTTCCTATCAAGGGCGTCTTCCTTCCTAAGGCCCATCTGATTCAAGTATTCCCCCACCTTATCTTTCCAACGCAGCCTTGGTCTTCCTCTCTTCCTCCTCCCTTTCACTACCAGTTTTCCGATCCTCTTTCCAACACAATCTTCACTACTTTGTTCTACGTGGCCAAACCATCTCAACCTGCATTTTTGCATCTTCCTGCTCGAGGGAGATGAACCGTAACAGAAGTTCTAATAAACTCGTTTCTTATTTTATCCTTCCTTGACACTCCACACATCCATCTCAACATTTTCGCCTCCGCCACCTCCATCTTTCTTTCTTGTCTCAGCCCATGTCCTGCCCATGTCCTGCCCATGTCTCAGCCCCATACAACATTGCAGGTCTAACAACCGATTTTTACAATTTATCTTTCAGTTTGCAGCTAACTTTCTTGTCACATAACACACCGCTCAACTTCCTCCAGTTCAACCATCCACATTGAATTCTATGTTGCACTTCCGAGTTCAATTCTCCCTCCATCTCAACAAAGGCCTCTAGATACTTAAAACTCGGAACTACAGGAAGCGGCACACTTTGGATTTTAATATTGCACTCGTCCCTGCCATTCAGAGTCATATAAGCTGTTTTAGTTAAGCTGCTAAACTTCATGCCCATTTCTTCCAAAACTTTCCTCCACTCTTCCAGTTTCTTCTCAGCCTTGGTTTGGAAAGGTTCACACAACACAATATCATCCGCAAACACGGAGTACCACACTTTCACGTCACAAACCAACACGTCTATTATCAGGTCAAACAGATAAGGGCCGATCCCTGATGTAAACCAATATTAACGGAGAACCTTTCTGTAGTGCCCACGCTACTCTTAACTTGAGCCTCCGCTCCCTCGTACATTTCCTTGGTGAGCCTAACATATTTTTCTGGAACATTCTTTTCCCTCAAAAATCTCCATATCTCTCGTCTTGGTACCCTATCGTATGCCCTTTCCAGATCTATGAATACGAGAACATGTGCAAATCTTCCTGTATTTCCCTGTGCCTTTCCATCAGCTGTTTCAAAGCAAAGATAGCATCAGTCGTACTCCTTCCCGGAAAAAAATCAAACTGTTCCTCTCCAATCTCAGATTTCTGTCTAATCCTTCTTTCTACACTTTTCTCCCAAATCTTCGTAGTATGGGACAATAACTTTATGCCTCTGTAGTTTCCATAATCCTGTACATCCTCTTTACCTTTAAAGACCGGTACAAGAATACGCTTCCTCCATTCATCTGGGATCTTCTCCTGCTACCATAGTTTCTTCATAAGGTCCCAGAGGATATCAATTCCCTCCTTATCCAAACCTCTCCAAGCCTCAATCGGAATCCGATAAGTGCCTACTGCTTTCCCCATCTTCATTTCCCTAATCACTCTTTCCACTTCTTTTCTGCTAATATCTTGCATCACTCCTTCATTTGCCTCTCCATCCTCGTATAAAGTTCTGGAGTTTTCCTTGTTCAATGGATTCCTAAAATATACTTTCCATGTTTCCTTGACCCTTTCGAATCTTTTGATACAACTCCTTTATCATCTTTAATCAGTTTAATAGAGGTAAAATCTTTTGATGCCTTATCTCTTGCTTTGGCAATTCTTATCAACTGCTTTCCACCTTTCCTTTCGAAAACTTTATAAGCCACTTCTAAAGCCTTTGCTTTCGCAATAAACACTGCCTTTTTAGTCAATTTATTTGCCAAATCGTAAGATTTTTTATCTTCAGGCCTTCCCATCAAATCCCACCTTTTCTTTGCCTCTTTCTTTTGTTTAATTAACTGAGGATTGTACCGGTACCTCAGCATTCCACCACTAAAGTTCCTTCTGGTGACCGCTTCTCTGAAGTTTTTCCCTAAACCTCTTCTCCAACATTCAAAATGCAATTGCTATTCAGCAGCCATTATGTTTTCACATCATCCGGAAACTTAATTTTTTTTAACACTTTTATCTTAAACTCTATCCTTAATTCCCCCTCTTTCAATCTCCACCACTTAATCCTTTGTTCAATTTCGCTAACACAATTCTTACAATGGCCCATAAGAAAGTCACAATCCACCAGGAGACTCTATGTTGTGCAGCAACACTTTTTCCATTTAACACCTTACTGTTTCTTACTTCACTCAGATGATTTCTCCTGCGGCACAAGAAAAAATCAATCTGGCTGGATCTACCTCCACTCATGTATGTAACCAGTTGATTCACTTTCTTCTCAAAGTAGGTGTTAACTAGCGCAAGGTCAAAAGCCACAGCATGATCGACTAGTCTTTCTCCCTCTCAATTCTTTTCTCCCACATTCTACCTCCCAAGAACTCTTCTTTCCGCATTCTTCCTCTTCCCAACATTTAAATCACTCCCACAAATTAACCTTCGTTCACAGGAACACACATAATAACTTGATCAAGAGCTGTCCAAAAGTTTGTCTTTTCTTCTTCTCCACTACCTGGCTGAGGAGCATACACATAAGAGATTTTCCCATTCTTCTTTTAGTTAATAAATCTTTCACACGTTTATCCAGAGATAGCGG